TGGTGGTGCTGCTGCTGCTGTTGCTATTGCTGTCGTTGAGGTTGCGGTTGTCTGTTGTTTGGTTGTTGTTGTTGTTGTGGTTGTTTGTTGTGAATTTGGTTTTGTTGTTGTTGCTGTGGTTGTTGTTGATGTTGCTGGTACAGACACCACCACCAGCCCGCAACTCATGTTAATTGCCAGCGACAATGCGAACCATGGTTTAGAAAGCAGCTGCCCCTGTAATGGAAGTGGCATTCAATAGGGGGGATCAAAACGACAGACTTGGCTCCAGTTTTTGTCTCTAGCAGCAGGTATCAACATTTTGTCTCTACCTGCTGCTAGACACAAAAACTGGAGCGCGGTCCTCCGCCCCGACCGCCGCTACTTTACAACAACCACCCGCCATACAACACAGTTCCGTGCCAGGAATAAAACTCTGCAAACGCATACCTTCGTTCCCTCTGGGTGCTTAGTTCCACCAGGGTTTTAGGAAGGGGGTTACGGTGCTTAGCAGCTCTGTTTTAGTGGTGCTTCATGGATTTTACAATGTTTTATAATATGTAGAAGGTTTCGATGGGTCTGGAAGAGCTTTAACTGTTTGATAAGGGTGTTAATTGTTAATGGTGTTTGGGGGGATCGGAAGCTGTTCTAAATCTCGTCAAAACCCTTCGAAAACCTTGATAAAGCCATGAAAACCCTCTAGAGCACTAAAACACCTGTAAAACCGATTAACATCCATCCTAAAACCCAATGAAATCTTGAAACAACCATTAAAACCTCTGTGAGTCCCTACTGCTAGTGGCAATGCGGCTTGTTCCAAATCACGCAAATTCTCGGTTTTCCTGGAGAGTCCCGAAAACAAGAGTCTCGATCCCCGTTGGCTCTCCGAACATAAACTTCCAAAACGCGCCCCAACAGTGAAGTAACTAAAAGCACTCGAAATTGACGGTATGTGCGACACTTCCGGATACAAACACTAAGACAAAGAACAAAAACGCATGAACACAACATTCCCCACAACATCATCCATTTCACACAAGCTAGAGCTTTTTTCAAATATCGTGAAAACAAGAACGACACAACCATCGCGGCGGCAGACATGCTACTACCTTGTTGCTGCTGTCGTCGTTGTTGTTGTTTCTGGTGATGCTAGTAGTGGTGGCTGAAGTCCGGTAGAGTTATACAACGGGAGCCAGTATGAAGTTGGAGCCAGCAAGCGTTGAGGTTCAGCACAGAGGAGCTAGCCTGAGAGTTTGTGCTTATGGAGTTTTGGTAAAAATAAGCTCCTAGCTCGTGCTCTGATTGAACCCCAGCGCAGCCCAAAGCCCGTCCAGAGCACTGGTGCCGTGCTTGTCCAACGAAGCTGTTCGAAAAGGTTGCCAGCCTTTGGGCTCAAAGCTAGCCTAAACCGAATCAAAGCCTAAACCTGAGCCCTGTAGACCTACATCTATCCTTGGCGTTTCCAGGGTCGAGCTCAGATGAGCCTGCTTCTGCGGGCTTTCCACGAAGTTGGAAGTCCCTTTCAATATGGGCCTATGGGTTTCGGACTTGCGGGGCTTGTTGGGATTAGGCGCAGGCTTGTACCTTCTTTTACGGTTATGTCTCGTGTTTTCGGACCCGCTGTCTACGTTGGGGCCGCTTGTTCTTGGAGATACCGGCCTGCGCCACATGGGAGTTGCGAGCTAAGTTCGAACCATAACATCATGTAGCTTGGATTCGAGCAGCTGCACAAAAAGAAGCACCGCGCATCAAAACCCAACAACACTTAGACTTTTCCCTGGCCACATGCAAACTAAGAACGCACGACTTCTAGAGTTTTGGATGGCGACCCTGATAGTAATGGCTAGCAGCAGCGACACGCGCAGCAGAAACCACGGTCATTCTCACCTGCACACTACGACAGCTGACAATTGCCACCACTCACGACACCGTAGCAGCACTTCATGTGCAGCCACTATGCCAGCGTGCATAGCAGGTGCTACCAGTAAAACTCCTGCCGATCTCCAAAGCTTCGAAGCACTCATAAACGCCTTTCCTACCTTGAAACTCCAAAAGCCCCAACCCCTAGACATGAAAATCCTCTAGAGTAGAAGCCCTGAAGCAAATCATCGACGCTGTAGTTGCGGGCAAGACATCCATGTTTCTATGGTTGATGTGATGCAAGAATGTCAGGAAAAGGGAACGTCATCGACTCAACAGGTAGGGGCAAGGTATCTGTGTCTACAGTTTCGTGACGCACGACTTTCAAGAAATGGGACTCTTCTAGACCCCAAAACGGAGAAGCACTAGTAGGACGAGCACTAGCCCTACCAATAGAAATGCTAGAAGTACTGGTAGCGTAGTGCGTCCTAAGTTTACGAACGGTTCAGTGCCCACCTCTGAGGCGTCGGAATATCTCGGCAGGAGGAAGCACAAGCACTTTGTTTTAAGACCTTCGGATGCGATGGGTTGCAGAGCCTCGATCAAGCGCCTGGGATTCTTGTGGCGGCCCATGACCTTGAAGCCAACATCTAGGCCAGAGATAGCCTGCTTTGCCGTCCCCTTATGCGCCGCCTCCAGGCCAGATTGAATGTTGAAGCCGTGGCGTCGATGAGCTGCAGGCCCGGTTCTCGAGAGGGAGCAGTCTCGTACTGGAGCATCACTGGACGCAGCATTCTACCGTCACTGCATCACACCAGCCTGGGCTGTCAAACAGGTTTACGACTTATATTGTCGCCGGCTACGTTGATGATTCCGCCACAAACTTAATCTTATAGCTTCTAAAGATGTCTAAAGACGAAGTTCAACAACAGCTTAGAGGCAGGACGGTGCGTCGACCCGGGTCACGGTCAGCTGAGAAGGCCCCGTCACTTTCACCTCGAATCGGTCGTTGCTGGAGCTTTTCACCTGGAAGGTGTATCCATCGACCTATAAACATGCGCAACACAAAAGAGTTGTGTGACCAAACACCTGGACCTAGAGCATAAATGATCTGAGTCTATACTCTATACCGATACCTGCCTGCATTATCGGACCTTTGATACCTTACTGTACATGTGCCTTCGGCTTGCCCTGAGCCTGCTTACAGACCATCTTGTGTGGCTGCATTGCAAAGCATCGCCAGCTTGCTTCAGACTACTCCACATCTTACTGCCTCGCGTGCCCTGATACGCTACCATAAGAAGTTGCATGAGGTGAACGCCATAACATGCTCTTAACATCGCTGAAGTTTGCACTACCGGTTTACGTGCGTTTATTGCCTACGCAGCTTCGCACTAGAAGTACCATACATTCTGAGTTGTGCTTCATGAAATTTGCTGTATATGTTGTCTCTGTTGCTTCATTGAGCTAGATTCTAGATACAGGTGCTGAGTGAACAGCTAGTGTGCCGATGTGTGACCATTGTATCAGGCCCTGCGACACGGTTTTGCTCAAAAACCTTTGCCTAATCGTGAACTCCGAAGCGGGCACAAACGACATGATTTTGTCTCTGCGTGCTCTTGCGCCCGCAAAAAAACCCTCTTGCACGCACACCAGCTTTCGAGGGCCATTGCAGTTGGAACCTGCTAGCAACCACCTGCGCGGTATGAGTCAAGATCACGGGATTCCGAATCCAAGTTGAGATAAGCTCTCATACGCATACAATACACTCGGTCATCCGTTACTTACTTTTGTCCCAGTTCATTTTTGGTTTTATCCTGTCGTTGCTTCACATTGTGTGCTGCATGACACACTGCAATTCTTACTCCACCAAGAGCTGGACTATGCATGTCATCATATACTTGGTGCAATTCGGCTTGCCTTCTGCGCTGCATCCAAAGCAGTGTATTGCATCGCAGCCTGCTCTTCCTTTTCATATCTTTTCATGCTACAGAAGACACTGCCTACGGTAAGAGAAGTCAGTTGAAATAGCCGGGCAAACCTTAGGACAAAAGACTATCTTGAGGGCTTTCATCCTGAAGCTGACAGACCCTGGCCTTCGTCTGGCAATGCACCAGCGTCTTGGAGACCGTGACAACTTTGATGTGATGTGCAGGAGGCGTGGGGTTGTTGCAGATACAGTTGTTGCCAACATCCACGCATTCTTTGACGCAATCACCGCTAGCACCTCGGCCTCGGCTGAGGTGCGACGGGGGGCCAGGTGGAGGAAGGAAAGGAGACCTTGGCTCCCCACTCCAGCCGCCGTGGTGATGCTTCAGTTTGCCGCAAAGTCTGTCATTCTCCGGCTTGCTTGTCGGCTTGTGGTGCACACGAATGGCGTTACAGTCGAAGCGAGGATTGCCACCGCAGTCACCATCGTTCTGATAATTCCATATGCACCGGTCGACCATAACAGACTCCAGGTGCAAGTAGGCTTTGCCGGCGGAGTCGTGCAGGCCGGCTGCGACCAGGGATGTCTCGACAGGCTTGCACTTCTTGTAGAAAAGGGTGTGGAAAAAACCTTGCCCACACTCTGCACCCACAAACTTATTCCCACTTGGAAGAAAACCACATCGCCCCCAGCCGGTCGCAACGGTAAACGTCACGTTTGCACCAAAAAATTCAGCGGCTCGCAACAGCCTCTTGTCCGGGCGAAGGGCAAAAAAGCCCACGTTGAATGGCTCGCCTACTCCGCCACTAGCACTGATAAAGTAGCCTTTTGCGGCGCACTTCAGGACAGCAGTCATATCTCCCTGGAACTCTACATCTTGGTCATAGAAAACCACGGCATTGTACTCATCCATTCCTAATGCATGTAAACGCATCAAATCTTGAGGTCCGCACCATCCATCTGCTTTGCCCGGCCACCAGTAGTCCGGATACCAAGAATTGGGTGGAATCGTCCATGGCACTTCATAGATGCGGATGCCGTAGTTGTGCACGAGCGCTCGCTGATGACACCCCAACTCCTTAACATCTTTCGCCGGCATCATAACAACGATGTCTACGATTCCGCCTGTCGTCTCCTCCAGGAGGAGGGCTTGCGCGCGCATGGAGTCCAAAAAGGTGAGCCAAGGCCAACCTGGAACCCCTACATGTGCGTAAACGAAAGCATACTTGCCACCAGTTACGCCAGCAGCACAAGCCTCCACGTCAAAGCAAGGTCCATTCTGGTGGCCATCGTTGCAACAGTTCGTGCAGCCCAAGCGCCGTTGCAGAGCTGTGGCTGGAGGTTGGGATACATGTCCTCGATTTATCTCGAAAGCCCTCCCTCGCCTTTGGACCGGTCTTGTGGCGACACTATCCGCATCACCGACATCACCCTGTGCTTCATGCGCTTCACGTGTTACGCTGTCTTGATTGCCAGTAGTAGTGGCTGAGCCATCGACAGCTGTTGGAGAATAGGTCAATGTGCTTCCTGCAGCAGCCTGGGGTTGCTGTGGAGTTAGTTGGTCGTGTCTGTCGACCACTGGGAGAGGTGCTTCCGGGCCTGCGCCGCCGCCCATGCTACTCTCCCTACCCAGGACTTCCTGCTGCTCTGCACTTTGCAAGCGAGCTACTAAAGCCGCCCGCTCGTCTCTAAAAGCAGCTTCTTCGCTAAAGCGGCGAATCATCTCTGAGCCGCTTCCAGGAGGGGGCCGTGCCTTGCCTTGAAATAGGAGGCCAGCTGAAAAGCCTGCCCCTAGCAGCAACATTACAAAGAAGAACTGCTTCGCAGAGCTTGGCTTCCCCGTCTGAGCACCCTTCTTCTTGACGGCCATGGCTGCGCAAGGAGCCGAACACAGTCAGACAGCCGCTACAATCACTACAACAGAAGCTTACAGATGCTGTCAGTACTGCTTAGCACAGCGCTTCAACCAATCTCGGCACGGCCGCAGCAGGTGCCAGTGGCTGACTGAAACCAACCGAATGCAGATCTCGCGGTTGGTCTTAACATGTGTGCCAGACACAGATGTTTCGCGCTGTCGGGTTGCCCGACGAACGAACTGCTGACACTCCGACACTTGCCAAAAAACACTTCTGAAGCGCTACATGTCCAAATCAGCGATGGGATGCTTTGGGATTGTGTGGGATGATCTTAGATCGCCTTCTTTTGCCCCACCTTCGCGAAGAAGGCCCTCCAGGGTGGTGACATCGCCTGTCCTCGCAGCCTCAAGCGCTGGCGCCAGCCTCAAGTAGGCAGACTTCCCGGGGCGGGGTGGGAGGCAAAGGATGTGAGCTTCTTGGAACGACAGTCAGCTTTAACTGTGCAGGTTGCTGATCATGTTCTGCCTGCCACCTACTCGCCCGAACTCGAGAAGCTCAAGCACCCAAGCTTCTGATTAGCAACGTACTCCATCAGTGCGGCAGGACTGAGCACGCAGCAGCGAGCCTAAATTAAAGGAACAGGACCGATGCATGCAAGCAGGTTTGGTCATTCGGCCATTCGGCTACATTCGCTGTGGACAAGACATCCAGGCCCTGAATGCTCTCCTGATCCCATGTTAGCTAGATCAGCCAAGCCAAACAAACAACAAACACGCACACACGCACGCACACACAGAGACACACACACAGAGACACGCACACACACACACACACACCCGTGCCCCACGATCGAAGCCGCGGCACTTCCGGTCGTCCGTTGTTGTCTGGTTGTTGATGAAAGCACTGCGCCTGTCATGTCCCGTGAACAGCAGGCTTTTTTGGCACTCGCACTCGACGAAGTCAGGCGAGGTATACAGCAACTAGCAGATCCCAAGGCTCCTTACAAGACTCCAGACAAAACAGCCACAGCACACACTGCTATACTTCATGATACTGCGGCATCCGGGTAACAGCAAGCCTTACATCTACGAGATGTCTGGAAGCTGCAGTCGTTTCTAGAAGACTCACGGCAGCGAGTAGGCAAACGAAACATGTAACTTTCCTTGCCTGACATGGGAACCCAGGTTCAACCACCACCGTTTGTTAATGCCACAGCCGCGACAACACTGCGTAGCTCTATAAAGATACAACAGCGGTACGAAAACATACCTTCCCTAAAGCTGCATTGACCCAATCGCGGAACCATTCTGAACATAGGACCCTACATTCCTACATCCTGTCACCCAGCATCAGAAGCCTAGCTCCACCAAGCCCTTCGGCGCTGCGATGAGCGAAAATGCCACGTGCCTGATTCGATGACACTCTGAATCGGCCATACAGGGGCGTTCGTAATCAGAATTGAGTTTGGGCGAAATGTGGGCGAAAGCCTAACGAACCAAGCGGGAGAATGGGAAGACTCGTGCATCCATGAGTAATGACGATCTAGATCTTGTTGCAAAGGGGATTGCAAGAGACGCGTGAAATCTTATTCTTGGGACCAGATGTCCTAAATCTGTACAGCGAAAAAACACAGACAGGGGCATCCACACGTGAGTTTCCTTGGCTCGACAGAAAAGTTCAAATGTGCCTCACGCAACAGGCACAAGCTGTAGCCGGAGCCCAAGTCAGTCAGGAGACTATTTTGTACGGAAACCATCTTCAAACCTTTTACGACTTTACGATCAAACTCAGGAGCTTTATGTACATATTTTCAACAAGTTGATTTTGCCAAGTGAGGATTTATGGGAAATTTGCGTATCGGCCGCGCGAACGCTCCCAAGTGCAACGGGCATAAGCGAGAAAGTAAGACTACTTTCTTCACTAGCATCATCAGTGAGTATACAAAGAATCTGAATTCCCAAAGAAAAAAGACTTTGCAGCACATATCGGGACAGGCTGTTTTTCGGAAAGATGCGTACTCAGTAGTCATGCAGGAAATCTCGGCAATTCGACAAAACTGCACCAGATGTTATGAGCAACACGTTTGAAAGAGTTGTCGGGAAGCCCGCCATCCACACGCAGGGCTTGGAGCTCTGAGGAGGCGGGGCAGCTACAGAAGGGAGGACTGGAGAAGAAGAAACAAGCATGCACGTGACAAAAGTAAAACAGCGTGGCGTGGCTTTCAAGAACACTGACAATAGTACTATTGACTAGTGTAATGTTGGCCGTTCAGGCTACCGGCGATAATGCCACAGGTTGTCCCCCAAAGCCGCCGGAAAATGTTGGCAAACCAAACACCGAACACAGGAAAACATGAACACATCCAGCATCCTAGTTAGCTACCTACGAAGAACAGTGGCACAGGAAGAAGCATAGGCGGCCTCGGCCATAGCCGCGATCTTCCGATGCCAGGCCTCTCTGCCGAGTTTCTATGATTGCAGAGGATTTTGGCCAGCATCTTTCTAATGGGTTCAGGGTAGGATGTGGGAATGCATTGGATCCTTCTTTTCACTTCTCCACCCGCTGACTCCCCGCCCGCCACACCCCTGCCAACCCAACGAAGTCCGAACCACTTCTAACGACTCGGGATCTAGCTCGATTTAGGGGTCAGCACAGAATACAAGCCCCATGGATCCGGAAGCCAAGTTCAAAGGGAGCCTGTTGGCCCCACATCACAACTGCAGATTTCTGGGTCGTAGGATTATGGATTCGGGCCTTGCTCCCAATCCTATCCCTACCCCGGCTCCTCAAAGGGAGGAACAACAGTGCCTTACCGTGGACATGGAGCGTAGCCAAGTTGGGCTTTGTGTGCACGGCAGTTTGAACCGAGTCAAGGCGTGCCGAAAATGGACAACACCAAACAGTGAAATGGCTGAAGCCACCAAGTTCTCTCACCTTATAACTACCACACAACCCATGTACCCACAAGCCGATGTCCAAAGTACAGGAGCCAGAACCGGCCTCCTCAGGTCCCGAACCCTTATTAAACCCTAAACCCTAAACCCAAAAGCCCAAAAACCCCTTATTCAACAAAAACCCAGTGAGGATACCTTGGCCTCCTCCAGCTCCTTGGGCTCCTCTCCCTCGCTATGCGCCTTGGGCCATTCTCTTTCGGAGAGCACCCAAAACGCATGCACCTAAACCCAAAACCCAGGGCCCAATGCAGTCTTTGCATCTTTTAGAAAGCTTGAGACGGGCTGAGACGTTCCAGCGTTTTCTTGTAAAGGGTTCTTATAAGATCTACTATGACGGTTAGAACAAGGTTAACGTGCTTTTTTGACTGGTGATTTAGGCTGCGTTGCAGTTCATTCCACGTGACATATGTGGGACTTTTGAATATAAGCTATTGGGGGGTCTTTACCAGTTAATCCTCCCAGAAGTCAAAATCTATGCAACTTCAAGCGCCGAAGAGACCGATGCATCCAGAATGACCCTGCCCGACAGGATACTCAGAATAATTGTTATTGAATGCTGTTCGCCTCGGCCCCGGCCGAAGCGGTCAGAGGTCAGTGACCCGCACCCAAAGACCCTTCCCCACCAAGGTCAATGGTACGGACGCAGGCACCGGATAAGGCCTACCTGGAGCCCACTCCGATAAGGCGAAGGACAGGCCCAATACCACCCGGCCACCATTGGCTGAGACAGACTCCAAGACACAGGCTGTTCGACAATACAAGGATATGCAAGGGCTCCATTGCCAAGGTGACGCCTCAGGCGTTGCAGCAGGCAGGCTCTGGGCTGCCCAGGCGGAGCACGCGTGGGTCTCGGTGGACGTTCTCATGCTTGGGACATGGATGCTCTGCGCAAACGGATGGAGTCTGCGAGGACGCTGTCATGGTTGGGACACATGGATGCTCTGCGCAAACGGATGGAGCCTGCGAGGACGCTATCATGGTTGGGACATGGATGCTCTGCGCAAACAGATGGAGTCTGCGAGGACGCTGTCATGCTTGGGACATGGATGCTCTGCGCAAACGGATGGAGTCTGCGAGGAGGCTATCATGGCTGGGACAAGCTCTGTGCAAACGGATGGAGTCTGCGAGGACGCTGTCATGCTTGGGACATGGATGCTCTGCGCAAACGGATGGAGTCTGCGAGGACGCTATCATGGCCAAGGATGCTCTGCGCAAACGGATGGAGTCTGCGAGGACGCTGTCATGGTTGGGACATGGATGCTCTGGATGGAGTCTGCGAGGACGCTGTCATGCTTGGGACATGGATGCTCTGCGCAAACGGATGGAGTCTGCGAGGACGCTATCATGGTTGGGACATGGATGCTCTGCGCAAACGGATGGAGTCTGCGAGGATGCTATCATGGTTGGGACATGGATGCTATGCGCAAGCGGATGGAGTCTGCGAGGAGGCTATCATGGTTGGGACTTGGATGCTCTGCGAAAATGGATGGAGTCGGTGTGGATGTTATCATGCTTGGGACATGGATGCTCTGTGGGAACGGATGGGGTCTGGGTGGATGTTAACATGGTTGGGACATGGATGTTCTGCGTCATGATGTTCTGCGGGAGAAGGGGCTGCACCGCATGTGCCAAAAAACACAGGACAAAACACACGAAAGGCCAAAAATACACGATAACGCCCTCTATCTGCAAAAACCACACGATAACGCCCCGAATTTTCAAACGCTATCAAAATAAGTCGCGTTGAACTGCTATAAAGGGTTTGGTATCCGGGCCCGAATGAGTAGAGTAGGGTTTTGGGGTACATGTTGGTATTACTATTTGGGGACGGACGGGTTACTTTTCTCCAATAATTCCAACCTCTTTCTTCATTCAGATGCAGAGCGTGTAAAGCCTAAGCACCCGGAAAACCCTTTGCATCCTGAAAATCCCTTCCGAAGGAACATATCTCTTCCAGAGGAAAACTTCCGAGATCCTCAAACCTTATCATGGCGAGTCTTGCCCTCTCAGCAGACCCTGTTCCCTCTCGCCGCTAAGCATGGCCCCTCTAACAAATACAT